ATAATTAAGAGCATTCATTGGCTTTAGAATTATTCAAATTAGAGTTTGAATCCTGGTCCTGTTACACATTGTGTAATTTTGTTCATAATTATTTAATATCTAATATTAATACTTAAATATGTTCATAGTTATGTATTTATCTCTCTAAGCCTAGATTTCTTTACCTCAAAGTGGTAATAATAATGCCTTGCATGATTGCCCTGAAGATTAAATGTAGTTTAGTGATGCTTGGAAAATGCTAAGCGCAACGTCAGACATTTAGTACGTACTCAATTAATGAATTACTGTATTACTGATTTTCAGCAACACTTTAGTCTGATGAGTACCTTCTTATAAAGAGGAAATAATGGAAAGAGTGATACCTGAGCCAACTACCTGACTGAATCCTAGAACCACCACTTAATAGTGGGATCTCGGAAATGTTATTTAACTGTTCCATACCTCAGTTATTACCTCTATTTTACAGATGAAGACCTTGTACCTAACTCCTGGGATCATTGTGGAAAGTGAATACGTTAGTATACAAAAAGCGCTTAGTTCAGTGCCTGACACAACATAAATATTCAATAATATTAGTTATCATAATTATCTCTTTCTATGCACTTACTGGCCTTCAGATTTTCTAACTCTGAAGAGATTATCTCTTCCTGTTGGCAAGACTGAACTGAGAACACTCTTTTCTTTTTGTCTATTTCTAGGACACTTTTAAGTTTGTCATTCATCTCTGCATTTCTGCCTCTTAAGGTTGGAGGACCCTTTGCTCAATGGTCAGAAAATAAACAATTAGGCATAAAAGAAATGGCCAACAGGACGGGAACAGGAAGAACACTGGCAATATATTAGATGTTTACAGCAATTTTGAAAATTAAAAAAAAAAAAACTAGAGAAAATCATAGAAACTATGAAAAAAAAGAGTTAATAATGATCTAGAAGACTAGAAACTACGCTAAAAATCCCTTGAAACTAGCCCCCTTTTCCTAACATGAGAATAACGTAATGTAGCATCTTTCTACTAGCCCAGAGATAACATTCTTTTATCCTTCCTTTCCTCCTTCTGGATTTTCCATAGTGAGCTCTAGAAATTCTAATTCTGGTCTACTTACCTATTGATCCAATCCTGTCCTCACTAGTCCTTTAGATGAAGCTCTTGCTGCAATCATCTTTCCAGAGCACTGCGCCTACGGCTTCCCATTTTTGTGTGTACTGCAGCAGACACTAACTGCCTTCCCTATAGCCTTTCCCCACCTGTCCAGGGGCAGGGATCTGCATCTGCAGGAGTATCCATCAGTTCCCTGTGGGATTCAGACAAGTCTGGCTCTATTCCCGGTTCAAGTGGTCAGTCCTGATTGGCTTAAATGCATCATGGTGGTCTCATTGTCCTGCCAGTGATTGGTTTAGCCATGGGCATATATCTTAATTCTAGCCAATGAAAGATGAAGAATGGTTTTCCAGGGGACTATAGGAAATAGATCCTTATTCTTAAAAATAAATTCGTGGGAAAAAGTAGTTCCTGTAGTTATGCCTGCATTTGATATAATGAACTGCGGTAGCTTTCCTGCAACTATGAGGAGAACTAGGAGTAGGAGGGCAAAGCAAAAAGATGCAGAAAAAAAAAAAAAAAAAAACAAAATGTAGATTCCTGGTGATGTAAAGCATGAGGTGACCCAATCCTGAAGCCAACTTACCTTGAGAGTTCTTGTTAGATGGGATAATAAATTTTCCTTATTATTTATGCCAAGTTGAATTGTATGCTATCTGTTATTTGTAGTTACAAGTACCCTAAATAACATACAAACCCTTGTTCTGCACTGATGAAGGCATTTCTTCTTTAGGTCTCTAGAACTGCAAGTTCTAACACGTTTGTGAAGCAACCCAGAAAAGTCCCAGTTCAGAATAATTTTCCTCTCCGCTGAACTCCTTTATCAACTCAGTCTGGCATTTCCTTCCCTCCCTCTCTTTCTCTCTCTCCACTCCCCCCACCTCTCTTTTTCATCCTGTAAGTGTAAGACCCTAGATTAGATCTTTTTGGTATTTACAATTTACAAGAAACCACCCAGAAAGCACAAACACTTTAACATATCTTCTATAGTAGTAAAGATGGAAGGAGAAGAATTTTGGTCTTTCTAGTCTGCACGTCGGTTTGGACTCATTTGTGTGATTGGCAATATGTTTTAATGTAAAGAGTGTAGATTTTGGAGTTTACAAACCAGAGTTTGACTCCAGGCTTCATCATTTACTAACTGTAGGTTTCATGTCAATTGCTTAACCTTTATAGATGTTTTCTCATATATAAAATATGGTTCATAATACATTGCAGCATTAAATGAGGATTAAAAGGGGCAACACAAGTAAAATGTCTAGGATATCATGGACACTCAGTAACATCATATGTAATAACTACCCATATGTATCTATATACACAAATTTTTATTTGTGGTTGCTGAAGAAGAACATATATGCAAAGAGGACAGTGAGCAGTGGGCAGTGGAAGAAGTGGAGGGTCTGATCAGATCTGGAAGATATTTAGACACCATTTCCTTAATATTCTCATTGTACGGATGAGGAAACAGAGATTCAGAAGTTTTCTAAGATTTGTCCAAAGTCCTATTTCTCCTTGCTGATATTTTTATGTATACGAATTAGCTTCTTTTCCCAGAACATGTGATTCTGATGATTAAGATATATCTACTTCAAAACTCTGTTTCTTCTACCAACATTAGAACTTGGGTCACTTGGCAAAGAGAGAAGCGTCAACAGAAACACTTTCAAGACCAGACCAAGTGGAATTAGGGAAGAGAGTACCTGTCAGGGAGATTTGAAAAAAATCACATCATTCTTCCCAAGAGATACAACGTGAAACTTGGGAATGTGAACTATTAACCAACACAAAGAATAAGGAGTGATGGGGATCATCTCCATTCTAATTTTGATACTATCATAGATGTTATAATCTCATAAATTCATTTAGTGTTATTTTCCTCATCCATACATGGCTTTGTCATCTAAGTGATATTTTCTCCACTATTTGAAAAGCCACAATAAATGAAAGAGGAAGAGTAGAAACAAGGAAAACAAGAATATGGAAAGCTTTGGTCACCATTAAATTTACTTTAAGTCAAACACTCCACAGGACCTTGACTTGCTCCAACTCATGACACTATTGAAATTTACTCACAAGACTACTCAGTCTTTTTGTGTGTGTGTTATCCAGGATTAGTAGGATTTGTAGATAAAACAGTGATTAGACTTTGTGTTCATTTGCCTGTGTATTCGGTACAGCAGGTGTGCCTGCGTTAGGAGACAGAATATATTCCTAAAGTCAGAAACCATGACATAAACATTATGTCCTGAGACCAATCACTGCTAAGGTAGAGAAGAGAAAGAAGCCCAAGTAGGTCTTGGGTCCCCAGAACAGAAGTAGAGGAGTCTTGGCAGCTGACATACCTAGTCACGGGGTGGCTGTTGCGAGAGTAAATCACAGTACATGATTATGTAGGTGAGCCAAATACATGATAGCAGGAGACAATATTTATGCTTAAGTTACAAAATCAATTTTGGGAGTCAGTCAGGAATCTTGCCAATCTTCATCAGCCTTTCTTCCACTATGCACATCTCAGAAAGACTGAAAATCAAGGGAATTGGGCATTCCTGTAATTCAGCCTCTTGTCTCCATACTCTTTCCTGTCTTGTACTCTCCAGACTCACATATGTATTGAACGTTCTTCTATTATCTTCCTTACTTGAAATATATATTTTTTCTTTTTAAACTCAACCATTTAAATTCTTTTACTTAAATTTTTCCTTTGCTTCCTTCTTCCTGTCTTACATTAGATTATAGAGGACATATTTCAACTATTTTATTACAGTGAAATATTTTTGTTTGAATTGTTTTTCGATAATGGTAAGTAGAATTGTTAAGGTTGGCTTATGTGAGACTAAACAAATATTCACAGAGAAATTATCATCCAGTTTCATGAAGGGACACATTCAAGAATATTTATGACAACATGTCTATACACTAGGACTTGGAGGTAATCTTGGTATCTGTCATGGTGGAAATGGGAAAGTAATGTAGGAAATGCTATCAACAATGGTCTAGGTATTCATGTACAGCCATGCGTAGATCTTAAAGTGCTAAGGAAGTAAGAAACAGAAAGAGCTCTATAGCACAATAAGATAAGTAAATTAAAATAAATGCATACAGGAAAATATGTGTTTTTCAGAGACATGCAAATAAAATGATATATGTCAAAATTAAAACTCATGTATATTTAAGGGGCAGGCAATGGTAGTGGAGCCAGGGATAAATTGATGTAAAAATAAAGAGAAGGCATTTGCATGTGTCAGCAATAATAATCTCCATTAATGTGATAATAATGTGATGAGTATGGATGAACTCAACTCTCTGTACTTGAGGTTTCAAATAAAGATATGAATCCTTTATTAAGTTGAATTCTCCAAATGGAGTAGTTGAGAAATGTTTCTGACTAGGCTGGTTTGAATCAGAAATGCTGTTTCCATAAAGGGGCAGACTTGATGCATCCCAAGAATTGACTTATCTAAAGTCAGGTAAGTAACATCTACAGCCAGTAACAACCTTCTTATCTGGCAAATAGGTGTAAATATCAACATGATTGTCATCCTGGCAGGTATTGCTGAGGGCCATGCAGTTTGCATCATTGTGCATAGATATCAAATGCTTGTCCAAATCAGCATTCTATGGGGAGTAACACCTTACATTTGTGCACTTTGTATTATTCAAAGCAATTTATTTACAATCCCCTTTGATTCTCCTAAAGGTGGCTGAGTCAGATATTATTATACACTTCACAGATAAAGACTGCGAAACACAGCATAGCTGAGTGATTGTCCCAATGTCATACAAGTTAGTAGACCTGGTCTAAAACCCATGTCTCTGGAGGAACTGGTATGTTTCTTTTCTCTCTCCTCATGACAATATACAGCTAACTGGGTCATGTCTTTTTTTGCTTTATTTCCAGAAAGTTCAGAACCAGATTTGAAGCTCTTGTGAAAGAATTACAACTTCTCTTATCATCTGCATTTTTGTGTCCTTTTTGCATTGGTCTTAAACTTTTACTTTTTTCTATTTTTCCTGGTCATAATTATTTATTTCTACTTATATTTCTACTCTTATGTTATTCTAGAGCCACTATAGGCTACACTGGACAATTTGTAGAAGAGATGGGAGTATAGATAAATGCATGAATGTAAAGAAAAGGAAAAAAAAATCCTCACAACACTAAAATAAAGCATTGCTTCTTGGGAAGAAGATCATATAATTAGCTCTAATGAGCCTGGCTACATTTAGAAAATCTCTGTGTTTGGATTATATATGATTTAATTAGTATTTGGACAACTATGATTAATGAGAGAACAAATCTCTAGAACCCCTACTGAGCAAAAAGGCTGATTTTAGATTTTAAAACTTAGCAAATCAAAATAACCCTAGTTCAGTATGCCTTATTGTGTTACAGGTGAAGAACAGCCATCCAGTGAAATCAACTACTCTGGAGCGGCCTGGTTTTTGAGCATGAAATTAAGATACTGAGTTTGTGACTTCTGTCCTCCATTCATTGTATGGATTGCCCTTCATATTGGATCATGTGTCCTCGACCCACCTGTCTAGCTTCATCCTTCTCCTGCCACTTCCCGTCTGGCATCTGACATTCCACAGATTCACAAACTTCCTAGCTGATACCGACACTGAGTCCTCTGATGGATTCCCTTTCACTACTTCCCCTTATAGGCCCAGTCATGTCATCTCTTAAGAAACTTTCTTTGATTTGGGCTCCTCATTGATCACATTACTCAAGCAGAAGTTGTCTTCTCTATGCTTCATAAGATTTTGAAAATGCCACCATTATTATTGGCGTATTTATCTCCCCTAATAGACTGTGAACTCCTTAAGTTTTTGGCTATTACATGGTCATCTAGGCCCTGATGTGGCCTATTATAGTGCTTGGCTTATAGCAGATACCCATTTTATCTTTCATAATGAGTGAACACAGCTGGTTGAAAAGATGTCCCATGAGTTGCCACATGCACAGGTCAACAAGACATTTCACCAGGTCACAGTCACATGCTGTTCGGGGATGCTTTCTTTTGGTTTGATCTCTACTCCCTGGGCTCCCAATTATAACAACTTACTGCCTTTTGTTTTGGGCCTTACTTTGGTCCCTTTTTAAATTTTTTTATTTTTTATTTTTTTGAGATAGAGTTTGGCTCTGTCACCTAGGTTAGGGTGCAGTGGCGTGATCTTGACTCACTGCAACCTCCACTTCCAGTGTTCAAGCGATTCTTCTGCCTTAGCCTCCTGAGTAGCTGAGACTACAGGTGCTCTTCATTGCCATGCTAATTTTTTTATTTTTCATAGAGACAGCGTTTCACCATGTTGGCCAGGATGGTCTCAAACTTGTGACCTCAAGTGACGCTCCCACCTCTGCCTCCCACCTTTATTTTTTATTTTCCTAATGATTAGGGTTATTTTTTCTCAAAGCCCAGCTGCCTGCTTTAAGAGTTATTTTTTGATTGCCACTATTTAATAAAAGCATCTCATATTTTATCTGGCAAAAGATGCAGAGGTCAACCTGATTATCATGTTAAAGGATATATAGGTTTTTAGGATATATAAATATTTATATTCTATGAAATATGTCTGAAAGTACATATGGTTGGCCTTCTATATTTATGGGTTCCACATCATGGATTCAACCAACCACATATTGAAAAATTTTGAAAAACTAAACTTATAAAAAATCACAATACAATAAAAATAAAAAATTTTAAATACAATATAATAATGACTTACATAGTCCTTATATTGTATTAGGTATTAAAAGTAATCTAGACATGATTTAAAGTATGTGGGAGGATATGCATAGGTTATATGCAAATATGATGCCATTTTATATAAGAGACTTGAGCATCTGCAGATTTTGTTATTTGTAGAAGTCCTGGAACCAATCTCCCATGGATACCAAGGAACGATTATACATATATATATATATGTATTTTATACACACACACACAAAATATACTGATATATATGTATATGTATATATGTGTGTGTATTTTTATTATACAATATGATTTCTATGATCAGCTCTTAAGTGTCAAGATTGAGCTTTAGCTGAACCTTTAAGTTTCACTGTCTTAATATGAAATAAATTTGAATCCTTTACAGAAAACCTAGAGATAAATACCAGTGTTTTAAAAGTCATGCTTGTTATTATACATGTGTGCATCCCTTCATTATGCAAACATTTATTGATGCCAGAAGTAGAATAAATGCTGTGATACAAAAATAAGACAGGCAATATCTATGTCCAGAAAGCTAATGGGAGCACAGCAGGAGCTGATGCTAGAGTTGGGTGTAGAGTCCAGACATGAAGGACTGTATATCATGCTAAGGAGTTGGTTCTTTCCCTGTCACCAGTGGGGAATTTTTAAAGCCTTTGAAGCAGGATAGACACAAGATCTTGTCTCTATTTGTACTCTATTTGTACTAAATGTTCTAATTCTTTGAGAAAAATGGAATAGTGGAGATATAAACCAGTAGATTATTGCGAAAGGCCAGGAGGGAGATAGTGAGAGCTTAGACTATGGCAATGGATAAGGGATGGAGAGGAAAGAATAGATTAAGTAAATAAGTAAAATGAATAGAATGGTCACTGTAAGTGAAGAAGGTGGAAAAGGGAAATGCCTAGGGCAATTACTGGTTTCTAGCTGGGCATTGTGGGAGTGCCACTTATGGGAAAAGGGAACACAGAAGACCAAAATGAATAAGAATTCATGTGTAAAAATAACTACTTAACGTAAGTCGTTATGTGTGAAAATAGAAATACTGTCATTTATCATCATTATTTAACAGCCAAGGTCCTGAATATAATACTTTAAACTACACTTAATTTGACTGTAAGAGAGTGTATCACGTTTCTTTAGTCAGGCTATGTGTTTTACCTTTACATTCTTGGACACAAATATATTGTTGAAGTGAGAAGTTGAGTTTGAAAAATGGCTTGAGTCCAACTCTTCTGAATTTCAGTGTGCTATGCTGGTGTCTATGCTGGTTACTATCAATATAGTGATCACTGTGTCTGGTAATGCACCAAACTACTGAAAGGTGCAACTGGTTAGTTAGAAGTAATAGAATTCCTTACTGCCCCACCCCCCCGCCTCACCAACAAACTTAATGATTTAAATCTTTGCCAGTCAACCATTTTGCAAATGTAGGTTATACAAAAAATCCAAGTTGAATAAGTGTATGAGTGGCATATGAATGGCCAATACAGGAAAAGATAGTAATGGCTAAAATGTATTGAGCACCTACTATATGCCAGGTGCTATTCTAAATATTCTCAATTAATCTTCACAAGTCATGGAGTTAATGACTATTATACTACTCATTTTGAAGATCGGGAAACTGAATCACAAGCTTACCCAAGGCCATCTGCAAGTAGGTAATTCAAGCTAGTATAATATAATACCAGATCCTGAACTCTTAACCATTATACTAAAATGTAGTGAATAATGACCTCCTAATAAGAGTAAAAAGGTGTTAAAGTCCCCAGCTATTATTGTTTTGGGGTCTATCTCTCTCTTTAGATTTGATAATATTTGCTTTATATATCTAGGTGGTCTGATGTTGGGTGCATATATATTTGCAATTGTTATGTTCTCTTGCTGAATTTATCCCTTTATTATCTTTTAACCTTCATTGTCTCTTTTTAGAGTTTTTGACTTAAAATTATTTTATCTGAAATAAGTATAGCTACTCATGCTTGTTTTTGGTTTCTGTTTGCATAGGCTATCCTTTTCCATCTCTTTCACATTCAGTTTATATGTGTCTTTCCAGATGAACTGAATTTCTTGTAGGCAGCACATAGTTGAGCCATTTTATATCTTTAAGGTGGGAAATGTAATTCATTTACATTCAAGGTCGTTATTGATTGGTGAAGACTCATGTCACTATGTTGTTTTCTACTTGTCTTGCATATCCTTTGCTCCTTTCTTCCTTCATTGTTTATCATTGTGGTTTAGTGGTTTTCTGTAGTGATAGGGTTTCATTCTTTTTCTCTTTGTGTATCTGCTCTACCAGTGAGTTTTATACTTTTGCATGGTTTCATGATAGTCATCTTTTCACTTTAAGATGTAGGACTCACTTGAGTTTTGCAAGACTAGGCTAGTGGTGATAAATTCCTTCAGTTTTTGCTTGTCTAGAAAAGGCTTTATTTCTCTTATGTGTGAAAGGTAGCTTTGCTGAGTATAGTCTTCTTGACTGGCAGGTTTTTCTCCTTTCAGCACTTTGAATAATTCATCCCATTTTCTTCTAGTCTGTAAGGGTACTGCAGAGAAATATGCGTTAGTCTAATGGGGATTCCTTTATGTGTGACTCGATGCTTTTATCTTGATGTTTTTAGAATTCTCTTTGCCTTTGAATTTTGACAGTTTGACTATAAAGTGCCACAGGGAGATTTTTAGACTGAATCTTTTTGGAGACCTTTGAGCTCCTAGATCTGGATATCCATATCTCTCCCCAGCTTGGAATGATTTTAGCTATTATTTTATTAAATAGATTTTTCTACACCATTTTCCTTCTCTTTTCCATCTGGAACTCCCATAAATGTGACCATTTGTTCACTTAATGGGGGGTCCTATAAGTCTTGTAGCCTTTCTTTACTCTTTTTCATTCTTATTTCCTTTATTTTCTCTGCCTGGGTAATTTCAAATAACCTATCTTCAAGTTCAGAGTTTTTGTTTGTTTGTTTTGTTTTTGTTTTTGTTTTTTGTTTTTTGTTTGAGACAAAATCTTGCTCTGTTGTCCAGGCTGGAGTGCAATGGCATGATCTCTGCTCACTGCAACCTCCACCTCCTGGGTTCAAGAAATTCTCCTGCCTCAGTCCCCCGAGCAGCTGGGACTACAGGCACATGCCACAATGCCCGCTTAATTTTTGTATTTTTAGTAGAAATGGGGTTTCACTATTTTGGCCAGGCTGGTCTTGAATTCCTGTCCTCATGTCCCACCCACTTCAACCTCCCTAAGTGCTGGGATTACAGGCATAAGTCTTGGGCCTGGGATTACCAGGCCCAAGTTCAGAGATTCTTTTATTGGCTTGATCAAGGCTGCTGTTGAAGCTTTCTATTATTTCTTCAATTTATAGAAATCATTAGCTGCAGTATTTCTCTTGGCTTTTTCAATGATTTTTATCTCTTTGTTGAATTTATCATTTGTATCATAAATTTTTTTCTGATTTTGTTGAATTGCCTGTCTGTATTTTCTTGTATCTCATTGAGTTTTGTTAAGATCACTATTTAGAATTTCTTTTCCAGCAGTTTGTTGATTTCACTTTCATTGGGGTCTGTAACCAGATAGTTATATTTATTTGGTGGTATCAGATTTTTCTTGCTTTTTAATGTTGTGTGTGTGTGTGTGTTCCTATGTTGATGTCTGTGCATCTGATGGAACAATCACCTCTTCCAAAATTTCTAGAGTGGATTTTGTAGAGAAAAACTTTCATCTGCAGTTGGGTTTTGGTGTGCCAGTTTGGAAGGATGTAGTGATTCTATTTTCAGGCAGGTACAGTGCAGTCAAGAACACTATACCCAGAAAAGCTGCCCTTCAATAGCTTCTGCAGCTGTTCAAAGTCAGCAGTAACTGTGAGCACCTCAGTAGCATAAGCTGTAGAAGTTTGTGGGATGGCAGTGGCAGTGTAGGTTGTTAATAGCTCCTCAGTGTCAAGGGCTTTTGAAGTCCTCCTTGTTTTTCCTACAACGGAGAGACTTAGAGGAGGGAATCCTTCTTGATATCAAGTGTGACATGGCTTACTATTAATAGCAGCTACAGAAGCATTGGATTCCAGGTGCAGGTAGTTGAGGCAGCTGTGGGGCCAGGATCCTAGGCTCAGAGTCTCACAAACCTATTGTGATACCTGGATCTTGGAGTACAGGTTCATTTTTGTAGCAGGGTTGGAGGACCAGGTAGCCTACAGGACCAGAATCTATGACTCTGAGGCACAACCTAGAACTGCTCATGGAACTGGATTGTAGCTACAAATCCATTCTTTTGGGGGCAGGGCACAGCACTGGCCCACCTCCAGGGAAGAAGGGGTGCTGTGGATGTTTGGGCCTGTGGAGAAGGGTATGGCTGCAATTTGGGTGTCTGACCCAATAAGGCTCAGTGTGTCAAGTTGGGTCCCAGGGGATGAGGCATCATATAGTGACTCTAGACCCTGGAATGGTGGGGCTCAGCAGTATCCTGACTCTATGAGGCTACATGCAGTAGCAGCTGGTACCCTAAAATGGTGGAGTACAGCTATCATTTGGACCCTGGGGTACAGGGAAGAAATAGCACAGCAATGATTCTTCTTTCCAAGGAGAACAGTGTTTCAGCAGCTCAGACACTAGAGAACTAATTCTGCCCCAGGGAAGCAGGGTCCTAGAGTTTGGGCAAGGTGTCTGAGTTCACCCACTGCTCTGTTTCCCTGGGATGTGGTATGTGCTGTGTCAGCTCAGCCCTGAGATGTGCAGCTACTAACAGCTTGGCAAAGCACCACTTCCCCAGGGGGTGATATACTGCTTCAGCTCAGGCCCAGGTGATGTGACCATTGTGGGCAGCCCAAGCACCACTTCCCTGAGATGCATGGCACTGCTTCAGCTAGGTACTGGAGTGTGTGACTGCTGTGGGTAGCCAAGGCACTGTTTCTTGGGATGCAAGGAGCTGCAACAACTTAGGCACGGGAGGTGAGGCTCCTTGGAGTGGCCAATGTACTACTTTCTCAGGAGAAAGAGTTCTGCTTTGACTA